GCGGCCTCGCCCCGGGGGGGGGGCGGCTGTGGCTTCCGCCGTTTGGGCGGACATTGGCGCACCCGGAGCTGAGGGCCGGGGGCACCCCACTCCCCATAGTGACCCAGCTCGGCCCCTGGGGAGTGGGGGGGACGGGGGATGACAAGTGCGGGGCCCAGCTGCCCTGGCGCTGGGGCTGGATGGCAGGGGAAAGAAGCGAGGGCAGCCGACAGCCAGGCCCTCAGGGGCCGGCCAGGGGGCCAGGCGCTGGCATGGGGCTGGGCTGGGGGAGGGGATTTACCGCGATGATGCTGCAGACGGGCGCCAGGAAGCTCCAGATGAATTGCTTCTCCAGCGAGAGCCAGCAGCTGTGGGGGAGGGACAGACACGGGTCAGTCACTCACCTGGCAGCAGGGAGCACTGCAGGGTGGGGTCTGCCCCCCTACTGGCAGAGTGGGGGATGGAGACTAGACAGCCCCCCCCTTGGTGCCTGGGAGCTTCCTTGTGTTGTACAAGTGTCCTGGGTTGGGCCCTGAGCAGAAGCTGCCCCTCGCCCGAGGGGCAGGAGGGTGCCCCCCTCCCTCACACTGGCCTCACCGAGCCCATGGGGGCCCACCCCTCCACTCCCCTGGTGGGCCAGATGACAGCGGCACGCCCTGCTGAGCCGCTCCTGTCCCCGTGTGCTGCCTGGGCATGGTGCCATGTTCCCCTCGAGCCCCTGGCCGAGAGCACTGGGCCTGCCCCCACCAGGCCGGTGACTCACTGGCGCGCCGTGCCGTAGCCCTTGCTGTAGGTGGCGGCCGAGACGCCCACGATGAGGGCCGGCACGCCGTAGCCCAACAGGAACATGTAGCGGCGCCTGAGGCCGTGGGGGGTGAAGACCTGAACCACCAGCAGGTAGAGCTCGGCGCCCTCCAGGCACATCCAGCAGAAGGCGGCCAGGAAGAAATAGTGCAGGAGCCCGGCCACCACGCCGCACACCACCTGCAGCCAACAGGACGTGGGACGTCAGGGCCGGGCTCCCGGCTCCTCCAGCCCCAGCCCCTGGGGGGCGCTGTGGGAAGCAGTGGGGGGGGGCTCTCTGCTACTTCAGGCCCAGACACTGCAGGGCACTGTGGGAAGCAAGGCACGACCACTGGCTCTGGGATAGCTCTTGGCTTCTCCAGCCCCAGCCTGTGCCAGCAGCGGGTGCAGTGGGGAGCAGGGCCTGAGGTTGCCTGGGGGAGAGCTCCCAGTGGGGGGCACTGTGGGGAGCAGGGCTTGAGGCTGGCTGGGGGGGTCGCTGTGGGGAGCGGGGCCCGAGGCTGGCGGGGGGAGCCGGGTACCCTGTTGCCGGTGCTGGAGGTGCCGGTGAGGAAGACGGTGTAGGCGATGAAGAGCGCCAGGCAGAGGTGCAGGTGGATGGTGGTGCGGGGGCCCTTGAGTGCGCGGCAGAAGAGGAAGGTGACGATGGACAGCAGCAGGCACAGCAGCGAGATCACCAGCCCCACCTTGGTGATGACGTCCAGGGTCCAGTCCTGTGCCGGGGGTGGGGTGAGGGGGTTAGTCAGGGTCGTCCCCCAAGGCAGCAGCCAGGCCGGGCTTTAGGGTACATCCGGACTAGTCTGTTGGCCTCGCTCTGCGCCAGGGCTGGGAGAGCCCCCTAGTGGCAACACCGGGCAGCCTGCGGGAACCAGTGTCTGGCTGAGTCCAGCCGCCCAGATGGATTCGATGCTGCCCAGCCTGCCCCCATCCCTCCCGAGGGGCTGACCCACAGCCCCAGGGCCATGGGAGGGAGCTGCTTTTCGACCAGACCGATGCACTTGTGGCTAAGGTGCTGCAGCTCAGGACTCCTGGGTTCTACGAGCTCTGGGAGGGGAGCAGGGTCTAGGGGTCAGAGCAGGGGGGCTGGCGGTCAGGACTCCTGGGTTCAATTCCCAGCTCTGATGTCACCTCCCCGTGTCTCCTTGAGTGAGGCATTTGACCCCCCTGCCGCTGTGCGATGGGGATGGGGACACTCCCTGCCCTGAAATGCAGTGGGGTGAGCCCCCTGCCCCTGCTGCCCCCCAGCTTTCCGGCCAGGTGGGCAGGCACGTCAGTCGCTGCTACCTGGGGAGTCTCCCTGTGCCCTTGGGGATGGGGGGGCTGCTTGTGCCCCTGATCAGATCCAGGGCCCCGCCTGCCGGTGGGGAATGGCTTTACTCCGGAGTGACTCCTGCTCCGCTGGGGAGGATTGAGGGGAAGAACAGAACCAGACCAGCCCCGAGGCCCCAGCGAGGGCCGCTCCTACCTCCAGCTCGTAGAAGGCCATGAGCACGGCGAAGCTGGTCAGGTGGTTGCACTGGCAGCGGGTGATGGTGGCGTTCAACTTCTGCAGGGTGCAGCCGTGCGTGGCCCAGCGCCTGCTGTCAGGCTCCCAGTAGGCGCAGAGGAGGTGCAGGTCGGTCTTGTTCTCCTGGGGACAGAGAGACGCTTGGTGCATGGGGGGCAGGAGCGGGATGACGGGCTGGCTGGGGCCGAGCTCCCCAGGCCATGAGAGAGCAGGTCGCGGGGGTATGAGGGGCTGGGCTGGGGGCACAGAGCATCGGTTTGTACCTGGGCGGGAGGTGGATTCATCTGCTGCCCGGAGTGGGGGGTGTTACTAGAGATGGGCCCAGGCTCTGCCCCCCAACGCCCCAGGCTCTCCTCCCCCCATGCCCAGCCCAGGGGCTCACCGGCACCGGGTGGTTGAAGTGGATGCTGACGGAGAGGCCGAGTGCCTGGGGGTTCGGGTCACTGATGAAGGCCGACACCACTGGAGACAGCACACGGTAGCTGGGCCGCCCGGGCTCCTGTACCTGCTTCCTGGTCTGGCCAATCTCGTTCCACTCGGGTGCCTCCACCCGCCCAGCACCCTCCAGGATGGGGCTCATCCCCTGGTATGTCAGCAGCCCGGCCAGCGTGAAGCCTGCGAGAGACAGAAAAGATGGATGAAATGGGGGGCAGGAGGTGTCCAGGGGCAGACTGGTGCCAGGGGTGCTGCGCTGCTGGGGGTGCTGCCCCCAGTGCCCTGGTCATGCCCGGTCCCCCTACACACCCCAGCCTGGCACTAGGGGGCACTGGACTGCTGGGGGTGCCGGCCCCAATGCCCTGGCCGTGCTCTGTCCCCCTTCACACCCCAGCCTGGCACCAAGGAGTGCTGTGCTGCTGCTCCCAATGCCCTGGCCATGCCCATCGCTATACACACCCCAGCACAGGCGATGATCACATACCTTCATTTTTCTGCCCTGGGGCTCCGGCCCACTTTAATTCCATCTGCGTCTTGCTCTGCTGCAGTGTCACGGTCTCCTGGCTCTGGTTCCCAGCCTGCCTGACCGCCAGCCCCAGCTCTGCAACCACAATGCCGGCCAGGGCTCACAACAGAGACATGGAGAGGAAACCTGTAGCTAGGCAAGGTACTTTCCTGGCTGTGGGGGGAGCTCCCAGCTACTCCAGTCCCAGCCTCTCCCAGCAGGGGCTGCTTTGGGGAGCAGGGCAGGAACACTGGCTGTGGGGGGCACTGTGGGGAGTGGGGCAGGAGCACTGGCTGTGGGGGGGAGCTCCCAGCAGGGGGCGCTGTGG